AACCACTTGGATATTCACCAGCGTCCACTTTAAGGAAGCCTGGCATAGATAGCGCGAACGCCTTCAGTTTCACCGGCCAGGTCAACACTCATGCACACTGCTGATAAAATTGAGCTGAGGTTTAGGCTACAGAAATTTGACACCGACTCATTCTAGCTGTAAAGGACAGGGAGGGGGGTCCTCTCGGTGTGGCCGAAGTAGGCCGCAAAACAGATCGTCCGCCATCGTGCGCGGAACTAATAATCAGTCTAGGGTGGGACTGTCTCTACAGGTCCTGCTTGCCTTTGACTTAATAACAACCTACTTTTACATTTTGCAGTAGCCCGACTTTCCCTTTTTCCGTGAAATTCCGCCAATATAAGGTCGAATTCCCAGCAATACGCATCAGTTGCCTGAGCAACAGGAGTTTATGCCGATGGAGTTGATTCTATTTAGCTCGTTAAAACAACCATAGGTTGTTTTAATTTAATATTTTTTGGTCACTTCCAACACAATTAAATATTAATTTACGCTGGTAACCCGAGAATTCAATGTTAAACCACCAATTTCGTAAAACAGTCGGGCGGGGCAATAGATATTTAGGCGGCCCCACAAAACAGCCTTGCCCAGTCTAGTGACAAGATTTGGATGTGGACAGAGTGTCCAGCAAATGCCCACACATATCTGGACAAAGGGCATAGAGACCGGCGTAGGACATCAACAACGACAACATACCGAAGCCAGAAGGTCATTGGCGGACTTCTCCGGCAGCAAACGCAGTCCGGCTGTTGCACGCAGAATTATGGGTGTACTGGAACGCCATTCCTCGGGTACATACTCCTGCGCGTACTCTACCAGCGGGCGTAGATTGTCAATGGCCTCGGAGGGGAACTTTGCAAAGGTAGAGAGTCCCGGCTCTACGCTGAAGAGGTGCTCGCTTATCAGATGGAAGGGGCGGGCACGATCTACAAGGCAAGCAAGCCAACACTAAAACCTCTGATAGCACAGTATGGGGATCAGTAGTGTTGTGTTGGTCAGCAAGTGTGTGTGTTGCGTGAGGAATCACGGCCCAGCCTTGGGTGAAGTCAAATTTAATCCGCGTTTGGCCAGAGCCGGCCAGGTGTGATTTTTGTCGAAATTTACAAAAGATGTGATTTTTTTATAGCACAAGGTATAAAAAGAAGCAGTTTTGTTTAAAAACATACAAATTAGGGTCCCAATTAGCTCGCAAACAAGGCATTAGCCAGGGTGGGTACAGCCTGAAGCAGATCGGTGTACAGTTGCCCACTACTATATAGTCCTGATCACAAGCCGACTACACGGCGGACCCGTGGCTCAATGATTAGAGCGTTCGCCTCTGGCCGGAGAGAAACGAGTTCGAAAGTCGGGTGTGACGGCAATTTCCGTTGCTACACTGGAGTTGGGCCACCACCACCTGATGACGCCCAATGAGACAAAAAAGGCCTTAGTGGTGTGCTCTGTGTTTGTCGGTAAACAATACCATATAGGAACCTCCAAATTCGTTTAAATCCTGCCTGTTTTCCTTCAATAAACACAATTGAGCATACTATCTTCTTTAGAAAAAGGTTTTCCGAAACCCAAATCCAGTCAAAAAATAAAAATAACAAGACCAAGTTTACGCTAAATTATCCACTCATATTTCGATCACGAAAAAGCGCGAGTTAGGTCATTTACTGTAGACTATCACAAAAGCCCCTGGTTCAATTATTGTAATCTTCATAAACGACAAAATAAGGACCCTAAAAGGTGGTAGAATAGAAGAGATAAATTTGGTCACTTCCTCATCATTGGAATAATAATGGATAATGTACTGCATTCAGATTTTGCACGGCGAGAATGCTACTTCGGGATACGCATGGTTTGTGCCCGGCACTAGGGATGAGAAGCTTGCAGCCGATTTTTGCGATCAGTTTTCTCCAAAAAAACACGGACAGCCTCCAGCAAAAAACCATAAGACAGCCTTTTACAATGACAACACCACAAACCTCCACATACTATTAAGGTGGTTCGATATAAATTAAAAGGATTATCACAGCCAACACATCTGTTTGTTGAAATTACCAAAGCTCACGTTCGTTCGCGCAAGTAGGAACACAGCAGAATACCCAACAGTCTTCAGCAAAAAGGGAACCGCA